AAGCCCTCTATAATTTTGGGACTGAGACTTAAAAGGCTAACAAAGAGTCTGCAACTTTGACCCTTAAAGTTTAAATAATATTAGTGTCAACAATACTCTGAAAAATGTGTGCAAGAGAGAGAGAGAGAGAGAGAGTTTTTTACTGGACCCCTTCAACAGGAGGGTATATTCTTCCCAGAGAGTTGGTGTATAAAATGATTAGATATGAATTTTTGACACTTGGACTTAATGGTTTCTATCTTTATCTGAAGTGAGCCCTTTTCAAGGGAAGAGACTAAAAAGGCACTAAAATAGCTTGGAAAGTGGGGGATAGGGTAGAGGGATGAGGCTATGAATAGACTGATGGAATGAGGGCTTTTCACTTTGATTAAATGAAAGAGGCTTTTACATATTCTCCCTTGCAAGTTGAGAAAGTATTTTATTAAAAGATGCAACACACAACTAGCTAAGCTTGAAACAATAATTCAGAAAAGCTATACACAAAATCAATTAATTTATAATTAATTAAATTTAAGTCAAGTCAAATTTAAAAGTATAGAGAATCAAATAGGAACAAATAATACAAAACATTAACAGAATCAAAACAGATTCACAACTACTTGTATTCATAAAGTTTGCCAGCAAAGCAAGTGGAAGCAAATTTACCGACAAGGGCAGTTAATTCAAACCAATACTAGATATTGTGTATGCCCAAATGCATTACCGACAAGCAAATTTACAGTTAATCTCCACATCTAAACGCAAATAATCTATGTCCAGTACACTGAAAAAGTAACACATGATATAACTTGCTATCTAGTTAACTCTTTCAGTTATCATTTATGACTGAAGATGGTCAAAATAATTCTCAAAATAGTACAAATTAGGGACAAAGAAATATGCAGTCATAACATAACCACAGTATGTTCTTTGGGGAAAAAGTCAATGCAATTTTTATCTAAGCCAATGTTCAAATTATATAACTAGTCTAGTGATTCTATACACAACTTCAAAGTTGTACACTAAACACCTACTAAGCCAATGTTCAAATTATATAACCAGACCAATGCTTTTCAAATGAAGCAAGTACCCTTGTTTGTTGATCATATTGGATCACTTACCGAAAAAAAAATATTTATAGAAAAACAAAAATCATTCCCATATTTCCCAGCCACTTCTAAGTTTTAACAACAGAGAAGATTTCTAGGGATAAGGGGTGACACGGAGATTAATATTAAAATGTCACACCTAGATTTATGAAAAAAAAATCAAACCTCCTAATCATTATTATATATATGTGTATGCAGAGAGATAGAGACATAGAGAAGACCATGAAAATTGGCGAATCTTCATGTTAAGTTAGATGATTTAACTTCTATGAAAAAAAAAAAAAAAAAAAAAAAGATTTCATAACTTACATATGCTTTGCGAGCATCATCATTAGTCCATCCAGTCCCTTCCTTGAAATGTGCATTCTTGTACATTTTGATAGCAGGTCCTACGATACGATCCTCATTCTCTTCATCATTATCTTCATCATTTAAAGTAGCTTCCTTTTGTTTCTTCATTAATTATTTTTATATATTATAAGGTATGGTTGTTGAAAGAAAAAAAAAAATAAAGAAATCTAAGTATAGTGTTAGATATTACATACCTCTTCATAATGCATTTTGGCAAACGACTTTGACCCAGCATAATGTATCACATCATTCTTTGACCTGTTTTCTTTGTTCTGGGCACTAATTTCCTACAAATAATTGAAAAATGATACAACAAATGAAGGAAAGAATGAAACGTTGAAATCTTTGGAAAACGATATAAATAGAAAAAAATGTAGTAAACTTAACTTGAAATTTTTTTGACATCCACCTATTGCACAAGATCTGCCAGTCCTCGTAAGTTACTTCAGGATGTGTGTTGCGGCGTGCACTTTCTTCTGTTTCGAATTGGTTAAAATGTTCTTTCAAACGGTACCTATACTTCCTATGAGCAATGGCTAATGCGTTATCTGCGCATTCCTTAGCTTTTGAATCCTTTTCACAATCAACTCCGAATTCTTCCTGTAGTTTTTCACATGAATAAGCCATAAATAAATATCATTTTAAAGAAGGAAAAATAATAGAATCCTGATTTTGGAAAGCTAAAAAAGGAAAAATTACAAATTATTTTTCATATCATCTAAATATACAAAGAAATCCCACACAAAGATATGCATTAATTAAGGCAAACCTTTATTTTACAATATAAGAACTGTTTATGAGATTTCAGAATCTTCAGCCAATTGTTATAGCATAGTGGAATGTAATCACGAGCAATGATCCCAAGCTCTCTCTCCCATAAATCTGAATGTTCGTCCACCGGTTTTGAATAATCGTCGTTAAACTTAATCGGAATGATACCCCCATTGTAATTTTTGATTTTATATTTTTTTTTGTTTACAGCTTTTCCACGCTTCGGGAATTCTCTTGAAGAACCTGAAAAATAAAAGACATGAAAGTAACTTGTAAAAGTATTTTGAGGCCTACTTTTAGTAAATTCAAAGACCAAGTGTAGTAAATGTAAAGATTAGAAAATATCACCTTCCACTATTGGTTGTGGCTGGGACGATGCAGGAGCATTTTGGGTGAGTTCATTGTTAGATCTCAAAGAGCGACGAGGTTCATTGGATGCCATGGTATATTACAGCAAAAGGCGAATAAAATCTTTATAATGAATCAAAAAATCGATAGATTAGAGAGTAACAATTAAGTAAGAGGGAGAAGTATTAAAATAACAAGACAACAGAAAATTAATATAAAGAAAAATAATAGATAATGTGAATGTAAAAAAAGAAGTAATAATAAGACAAAAAGATAAAAACAATACATATTCTAAAACTTAATGTTCAAGTACTGAAGACAATTTAACTTCAAATTTGCATGTGTTCAACAAAAAATGAATAAAAATAAAACTCATCACATGTCATCCAAATCAATATCATCTTCACTAAGCAATTCTTCTTCCTCGTCTGAATTGTCTTCAATGGAGATTTCATCATTGTCTTCAAGAAAGTCAAATCCATAACGTGATTCTTGACTAGTTTTAAGAATTATTTCAGCATCAATACTTTCAACCTCCAAGCCATCCCTATTCAAAGGGAGTGGATCCATGTTAAAGTTTGCCGCCTCAATAACCCTATCCACAATACATGGTTCATCCTCTTGATATGCTGCAGTACACATTTCAGCTGTAAGTTTGCTATCATCCTCCATTTCAGGAACATCATAGGAGCTTCTATGTGTTATATCTTGAATGACCTCCCACGTCCCTCGTAATTTGCTGTCTTTGACGAAGAAGGCTTGTTTAGCTTGATTAGCCAACACAAAAGGCTCATCTTTGTACCATTTACGGGCTATGTTTATGCTCCTAAAATAAGTATCACTCTTAATACCAGTCTTTGTGTTGAACCAATCGCATTTAAATAGGACAACCCGCCTTTTCAAAGGGTATTGTAACTCAATGATATCTGTCAAGGCGCAATAGTAATCAAGGTCCTCTGTTTTGACTAACACACCACTATTTTGTGTTCTTCGATTTCTCTCCCTTTCCTTTGTATGGAACCTAACTCCGTTTACAATGCAACCAGAATATCGATGTATCCGAGATTCAGGTCCACACGCTAATGAATAAAGGTCATCATTAATTGTTGACTTGTTATGATAACACTCTTCCTTTATCTATGAAAAATTTGTAGAGTGTTAAACTAATGCACAAGGACACAACATCTAAAAGAAATGGTAGGTATGTCAAGCACATTATAGACTTACCAGTGTTTCCAACCATCTGGGAAATTCTTTTGCGTGTCTGGATTGTACATTAACCGTATTTTCTTGCTCAAGTGTAGCCTTGTGTGCACTAAATAATTATGTGATATTAATATATGCATTTTATAATTTACAAGTAGATAATTTAAAAAAAATATATATATACAATATATAACTTACAGTGCGTATGACTCAATTTCTGGACAATTATTTAACACGTAGAATCGAGCCTTTTGTATGCTTGCAATGTCAAGTATTTCTAAACTTCCAGACCCTAAAGGACGAACCACTTGCCTTAGCTGTGAAAAAGTGGACCAATTGGTACGATAGTCGCCCTCGTGATTTCTTTCTTCTCGATTAAATCGTGTCTCAATCCTTTGAAGAAACCTTGAGCAAAATGTAACACATTCATTGTCCACATAAGCTTCGGCAATGGACCTTTCAGGACGTGCCTTATTACGCACATAAGACTTAAGAGTATGTAAAAACCTGCATACACATCAAAATACTTATACATAATTAAATATCATGTAATGCCCCCAAAACATTTTATTTATTAGAAATATACATCACCTTTCAATGGGATACATCCACCGATATTGGGCAGGTCCTGCGATGATAGCCTCACGTGGCAAATGCATAGCTAAGTGCACCATTATGTCAAAAAATGATGGAGGAAATATCATCTCTAACTTGCATATTATAACAGCAATGTCCCTTTCTAATGCCTCTAAGACATCCATTTTAAGGGTCCGACAACACATCTCCTTAAAGAATAAACCAAGCTCTGCTATCGCATTACAAATATCAACGGGTAACAATCCCCGTATAGCTAGAGGGATGAGACGCTATAAGAGAACATGTGAATCATGACTTTTCAATCCAGATATCTTACATTCATTGACATTCACACAACGGCTTATGTTCGACACATAACCATCTGGGAATTTCACCGACTTGAACCAATCACACAATTGCCTTTTTTCATCCTTTGACAATGTGTAACGCGCAGGTGGCATCTCAAATTTCTCACCATTACGCCTAAGATGAAGTTCTTTTCTAATACCCATTTCTTCTAAATCCATCCGACTTTTGAACGTATCTTTCGTCTTTCCTTCAATGTTCATTAATGTCCCCAATACGTTATCACATATGTTTTTCTCTATGTGCATAACATCCAAGTTGTGCCGCAACAAAAGCATTCTCCAATAAGGCAATTCAAAGAATATACTCTTTTTTGTCCAAAAGTTCCTCCTTCCCACGAGTCCGCTTCTTATTGTTTGGTCCTTTTCCGAATCTAACCTCGGGTATGAGATTAAGTTGTTCTAGAATATCATCACCAGTCAACTGCTTTGGTGGCTGTCTTTCTTCCTTCTCACCATTAAATTGCTTATAACGCTTCCTATAAGCGTGTTCGGATGACAAAAAAATACGAGCTCCCAAGTAACATATCTTCTTTCCATGACTCAAATAATAAGAACATGTGTGTTTGTTACAATTTGGACATGCCATATAACCCTTTGTCATCCATCCGGATGTCATCGCATAGGCGGGAAAATCATGTATAGTCCAAATCAACCCCGCATGCATGTTAAAGTGAGATTTGCTATAGGCATCATATGTCATCACACCATCCATCCACAATTCTTTCAACTCATCGATCAACGGTCGCAGGTACACATCAATGTCATTACCAGGTGATTTAGGACCAGGAATAAGCAATGACATAAACATATATGGTTCCTTCATACATATCCAAGGTGGCAAATTGTAAGGCACAATAATTACAGGCCACATACTATAAGCATTGCTCATGTTACCAAATGGATTAAAACCATCACATGCTAACCCGAGACGAACATTACGAGGATCGGCAGCAAACCAACTATGCTTATTGTCAAATTCCTCCCAAGCTTTTGAATCAGCTGGATGTCTTAACACATTTGTCTCTTTGACGCGTTTCTCCTTATGCCACCGCATGTCTACGGCTATATCCCTTGACATAAACAATTGTTGAAGCCTGTGTTTCAAAGGAAAGTATCGTAGAACTTTTTGAGGAATTTTCTTACCTTTACCTTCGCGAGATTTATACCTTGACTCACCACACTGTGGACAACATTCTTTACCTTCATTCTCCTTCCAGAATAGAGCACAATCATTTTTACATGCATGGATGGAATCGTATCCGAGACCCAAGTCACGTAACAAGCTTTTAGTCTCGTAATATGACTTTGGCAACACGTTGTCATCAGGAAGCAACTCCTCTTTTAGCAACTTAAGCAACATGTCAAAACTTTTGTTGGTCATTCGACCTACAACTTTCATATGGAACAACTTTAATATTGCTGACAACTTAGAGTTTTTCTGACAACCTGGCCACAATTCACATTGTGCGTCATTTAGCAATTTCTTAAATCTTTCGTCTCCCACATCAACTTCAAGTGGATCTTCTGCTTGTTCTGCATTAGTGAATGTTCCCATTCGCACATTATCCAGCAGTTCAAATACATTGTCTTCGTTTCCACGTCCCTCATCGGCATTATCCCCATTGTCGGTATTAACATCATATTCTGTATTAACAGTACTAGTGATGTTAACAGTACCCTCCCCGTGCCATATCCAATTAGTATACGACTTGTACATCCCACACTGAAATAGATGTTTTTCAACCTCCTTAATTGGCTTATACACAGTATTTTTGCACAAACGACACGGACATCTGATCCTACCCTGCCCATCTTTATGTCTGTTAGCCAACTTTATGAAGTTTCTTATGCCTCTATTGTACCCTTAACTACCCCTAGCATGATGATGAATCCAAGACTTATCCATGTAACTGGTTCATGAAAAACAAAATCAATTATGGATACAATAGAATTGATGCATATTGAATATATATGTGTATGTATAACTCTTTCAATTTCCTCATCCATGGTCTTATCCCATTAAATAGAAACATGAATAATGTATTAAAATAGATGCAATTGTGTGGAAATACATTTATTAATTTTTAACACACTATTTTGTATTTCAATTATGTCGAAATGTGTTATAAACATATATATATGTAAGGAACAACTTTATTTTGAACACATTATGTACAAGTATGTTTAGGACAAAAAATGTTATAGCCTCCCAAACAACCAAAAAATGAAGGAACATAATAATTATTATTTTTCCTAAATATAATATCTACCCGGATTAAATTCAAACATATTTATAAGAGAACCTTTCATTTAAACAAATTAAATTGAAGAAAACAATGAAGCTTAAAAATAACATCAATCAAAACATGAACAAACAATTCCGTATAAAATACAAAACAGAATCATATAGTTCTGTCCACAGATTCAACTATATATCACAATGTTAAGACGAAGCCAAAACCTAAGAGATCAAAAACAAAAGCCTCATTTCCTAGCACTTCATTATCTAGATGTGAACTAATTTCTAATGAAAAATCACTAAATCTGAACCAAAAGGAGGATAAAACAACACTATTTAGTTCAAATCCAAAGCCAAACAAAACCACATGTATATAGAAACAAGATATTCAAAAAAAAAAAAAAAAAAAAAAGAAGTAGACTTAAAATCTAATCAAAACACATGGAGACAAATTTACCGAAACAAATAGAACAGGAAATTAAGAAATCACAAGACATTGAAAATTGAACTGTTTAATTACAAAATCACAAGATCACCTAATTTACATCCCATGTGGGACAGAACACATCTACGCAACATAAAAAATGGTGTCTTTGGGTTTGCTTTTTTACTTCTAAATTTTGGTATGAATTCTGATCAGTATACTCGTAGTCTTGTATAAAAGTAAAATTTGGAAATTGAGCAAAGGTGATCTATGTACCCGCTCTAGGTCAATTTCATATTGGAGAATCCAATTATGTATAAAGCCTTGAAACTTCCAATAGTTGAAAGAATTAACATGACTACAATTGTGTCCAAGAATATAAAAATAAAAATAAAAAAATCTGTTATAGCCTCCCAAACAACCAGAAAATGAAGGAACATAATAATTATTTTTTTTCCTAAAGATAATTTTTTCCCAGATTTAATTCAAACAAGTTTTTATTTTTGGGCAACACATGAACAGATCTGTATAGAATACAAAACAAAATCATAGAGTTTTGTCCATAACTTCAACTATATATCACAATGTTAGACGAAACCAAAACCTAAGAGATCAAAAACAAAAGCCCCATTTCCTAGTACTTCATTATCTAGATGTGAACTAATACAAATACTCTCACACACACACATATATGTATATATAAGGCCATAAAAAACATGTGTGTTAAATCTATTGAACTGGTTTCTTTTACTTTTTGAACAAAGTACATTGAGTTAGATATAAAAATACTCAACAAATTACACCATACACACAAAACAATAAATAAAGAGATAACTCTAGCCTCACCAAGCCAAAAAGCAAATATACAAATCTAAAAAGCAACGGGAAAAAAAAATTAAATATAGAAAATAAAATACACTTACAACACCCGTAGAAGAGTAAGTAGTGACACTGAACTTCTAGTCGCTCTGGTAATCCTTATAGAGAAGATCTACAGCACGAAGCAAAGAAGCAAATGATAGAAAACATTCCAAGCTATCAATCCAATCAACTGAGACAAATGGATGGGGTATTCCAAAAATATAAATGATGGGCACTTTATGCGTTCAACTAAACATTTTGAGCTAATGCAAAATTTACAAATCCATTGAATTGATAACATTTTTGGCTGCTCAAGTGGATCAGTAATGCTGGGGATTAGAGATTTTCTTAAATACACAATACACAAGTGTTGCATTCTATAACAATTGGTTACCAAAAAATTGTTAAAATAGCTCAGTAATCTTTTGAAAAATAAAGCTTGAATTTGGTATTTTTAAAACTGTAAGATTAGCAATACAAAATAATAGGGATCATCGAGTCACTTGTTGAATTTAAAGTATTATAGGAAAAAAAATCCCCAAGAAACAATTTAGTGACAAATAACAATTTAATAAATAGCTAGTGAGTCAAGCATAATTAGGGAAAAAGTCCCAGATATTGGATCAATTTGCGGTGACCTGGGAGGCACTCTCCTAGTTGGTGTGACTTTCAGCACCACTCTAACCAATTCGTGCGCACCAAGACAGGGCATGACACCTTCTCCTTGTCAGATAAATATATATATATATATATACATATATTTTTTATATAATACTAACTAAAAAATGAAAGAAGAAAAAAAAAAAACAAAAACAAACAAACAAAACAAAACCCTCTCTTAAACATCTTGTGAAGCTAGAACCAAGTCTGCAGAACTGGAAAAGGCAAAGTGATGGATTAAGCTGTACAGTTTCAAAATAACATTTGTCCTTGGACACATACTTTGCACTTCTTCTTATCTACATGATACACTCTAGTTATCAAAAAAAAAAAAATTGTTTTGTTTTGTTGGCTATAGTTATCAATTAATTAGCTTTACAGCTAACTTGCACTCTACTTGTGGATAAGAAGATCAATGGGATATAAAGTCTTGTTTATACATTCTGTTTTCTTGTCCAATAAAACTTTTTAAAAATTTAGTTCCAAAAGAAGATGGATACAACTCAAGCCAATAATTTATAATACTACTAAATTTAGTTTGTTATGATTTTTTTTTTTGGAAGATTTTTTTTTTTTTTCCAAAAAAAAAAAAAAAAAACGTTAAAACCCATCAGTACCATTTAGGTTAATGCAAAATTAAAATATTTCCAAAGCCATAAGAAGAATATTAAAAAATGAAAAAGTTGGGTTTGTGAGAAGATGACGGACCTGTTACAGGGAGTGTCTAGAGTAGGAAAGTGGGTGAGATCAGAATACAAAGAAGGAAGAAGAAGCTTTGTCCACCATTGATGGACTGACTTTGCTGCCTCCCAATTAAAATGAATTAGATGTTCACCCAATTAGACAAAGAAGAAGCCAATAAACTGCAAATTATATATTACTAAGATCAATCAACAAAACCCACAAAAAAGGATCGACTTTCCAGCAAGAAAATTAAATTAATGAAGTAGCTTAGTTTATAGATTGTGCAAAGAATCTACTCTTATACGAATTATGAAATTTTATATTATTCTCAAAGTACGCGAGATATCAGGTTCCTCAATGGATTAAAAAGAAAAAGAAGTGAAGACAATTGTCTATTTTACTTCATAATAGCAATATATAGCATAACTCCTTCAAAATATATATATAAGAAAATTTATTCTATTTTATTTTATATTTTATTTTTTTTAATAATTTTTTTTAATAGAAACTCACTCTTACATTCCACTTTTTCTTTTAAGGGATTTAAACCTAGATCTTCTATTTTGAAAGGTAAAAAAGTGCCACTATTTTAAAAGTAAAGTTTATGTTTTGCATTACAATCATATGTTTGAGAAAATTTAGAAAACTTAACTGTAGAAGGAATATATATTTTTAGCCTGGCAATTGGTTGAAGTTTGATTAGAAGTTAGAGGGTAAGTAGGCGACTCCAACAGAAGCTCACACACCAACTGTAGGGCTTCCCACCAACTGGGACATAAAGCACGTCTACCATAAGGAAATTCCTAATGTAATACCATAAGAAAATTGAAAATTGAAGTCCAAATTAATGCGCTTAATGTACAATTTGGAAGGATGAGCGCGACAAGAACTTATCTTCTGATTTCAAGTTTTAAAAATCTTCTCCAGCATTCCACAATTCTAAATCAAAATAAAAATTCAAAGAAGACCTTTACAATTCTTCTTTTTTAATTTTTCTGTCTCATTTTCACCAAAAATTTAATATTCAAAGTTAATCATAACTTGATCCTAATCCAAATACAGAGTTCCATGCATGACTACTTACCAAATTAAATATTGATCTTTGAACCCACCCCCCGTTTTCCTTTTTGTTACGTTTTTTTTTTCCTTAATTTCGTTTTCAGTACAAATATGGTTGTTAAGCAGTGAACAATAAAGCGAACACTCAAGTTTTGTGCATCTAAAACATTTATGTTAATTATATGCATGTGTATATATGTGTATATAGTGAATGTATACGCAGTAGGGTTCATTAAGTGGGAAATAAGGGAATTGAGGAGTGAAAATTACCGGCGGTGGGATTGATGTTGAAGGCGGCAGAGAGTGTTAGAGGACTCGTCGATAGGAGAGCAGAGGATATCAAGAAAGATCGTTTCCGGCTGCTGTTGTTGTTGGGCTCTTCAAGACCTCCATGTTGATACCCACTTTTGCGAAAGAGAAAATTAGTTCGCAATGACTTGAATTGAAAAGAAAGAGATCGATATTGGGGAAGACCATACAAGTTTTTCAGCACTAGATGTCATGTAAAGGCAGAGGGATCATCATCGTCTGAGATAGAAGACGGAAGGAGAAGAGCTAGCTAGGGCAATCCTTCAGAAAGAGGGCAGAACAAGTTTAATATAATTGAGAGGGTTCTGCACAAGTGTCTCCCTTGTGGGCAAAATATATATATGCTAATTGACCGAAACTACGTCGTTTTAGAAGGATAGTTTTGTAAAATTACCTGGTAAGTAATCAAGGACGGTACGTTTACCGTCCTAAAAGGCCATTTTCATAATTTTTTTTATTAAAAAAAATATAAATATGGCGCTAAATTTTCGCGCTAACAAATTAGGGACGGGGGAATTTTTTTTTTTTTTTGGCATTTTAGGCTTTTTTGGGTAATTTGGGACAAACTGCCCCTTCCGTCCCAAATAAACTACCTTTTTGGGACAAATTTGAAACTGTCCCTAATTGTCCGTCCCTGTTGCCCAGAATTCTTGTAGTGCAAGTAAGAAAGAGCTATAGATGTTTGTGGGTACCATTTTTGGAAACCCTCACGAGACTTCACTCGTCCACTAGGGGTAATTTAGGGGTTTAAAAGGCTTGTTGCATATGCTAAACGCAACCGTGATCCCTATGAAAGTGGTGTTATCTTTATTTGTTTCATTAATTCATAATTGTGTATATGTTTATTTCATTTCCATGCTGTAGTTTATTGCTAGGGACTAGCAATATCTAAGTTTGGGAGCGTGATAAGTGCTTAAATGTTGCACATTTCAGCACCTAAGTTAGGGTATTTCAGTCTTTGCATCTATCTTAATTTCATATTTTAGTCCTAATTTATGTTTGCACATTTCAGCACCTAAGTTAGGGTATTTCAGTCTTTGTATCTATCTTAATTTCATATTTTAGTCCTAATTTATGTTTATGTGTATTTCAGGGTAATAAAGTTAAAATAAACTAATTTTGGTTCACTAAAGCCTTTTTGGAGTCAAGCAAAGATATTCAGAAAAAGCTCAGAAAATGGCAAAAAGGAGGTCGCAGCCCATTGCTCGTATAGTGTGTTTATTCTTCAAAAGCGGTCAATCTCAGGCCTTTGATGATGTTCCCAAAGATGAAGAAGCAAACCAATGAGCTCGGGGCCAAAATGGAGCTAAATAGGGCTTAAAGGAAATTTCCAACTCTTGGGGGATCGATCCTCCAGGACTTGGCAACATTATATGATTTTCTTATTGTTTGGGCTTATTTTGTGAACTATTGGGCTTTACTAGGGTTATTACTTATGGCCCAGTGAGCCATTAATTTAGTGTTAGTTTTTATTTTATTGAGGTGGAGATTATTATTTTAATTATTAAGTTTTATATTCTGTACCGATATCACGTTCTCTCTGGAAAAACAAGCGAAGGAGGAGAAAAAACAAGAACAGGCTAGGGTTTTGAGAAGAAGCTTAGAGATGATGAAGCAGATGATGGAACTTGTTGACACCTTGAATCCATCAACTATGAGCGGCTAAATCTTCTACTTAGGGTTAAATAAACCCTAAGCATGTAACCTAATCTCTTTCTCTTTTCACTTTTTAGGGATTTATTTGTGTAATTTTTGTATAACCTTGAAATATAAATTAATTCTTTCATTTGATTATCTATGCCAATTTCATATTGTCTTATATGTTTTTGATTGATAATTAATCTCTACACTTGATTTCTTTGTGAATTGAATCTTGTGATGGCTATGCATTATGTTAATTAGATGTAATTGTGTTTTAATTTGATGGAATTTTCTTCTACTAGATGGGTTGTACTACATAGTTAATTCAATTAGGTTAAATTCTTGTTGAATTTAGTTAATTTCAGGCTTAATTAGTTTAATTACACTTTCATTCTTAGGTAAGTAGACAATCCATGCTTGTGTTTGATTTCCATGCTTGTTGCCACAATTTACATTATCCTCTAGATTAAAGTGAGTTGAAATTGCTAACTGAATTGATGGACCATGCTTTGAATTGGTGAATTGATTTACATTTAGTTAATTGTCATTTGGTAAATGATTCAAGCTTTAAATTGATGTTTCATACTTTTCATTGCAATTGTTAGCCACATTTAGATTATACATTTTATTTCCCCAATTAGTTGAAAGTTAGTGAGTTATGGAATGTGCTTAGTGGTGAATCCTACACCCCAAGTCTATTCCCAATCTCTTAAACTCTATTTATTTTATTGAAATCATTTAGCTTAAAATTAGTTTAATCATAAAACCAAACCTTTTTAGCAATCACATAAGCACTAAAGTATAATTCAATTATGGAAAACCTATAATTGTTTAGATCTCTTGGGACGATCCCTGCTCGCTTCATACTCCATAATATAAGTGTTTAGTGGTTTTATAAATTTTAAAATATGGTGCCCACTTGACATTATTTCTAAACCTAAAGTGTTGTGCATTATTTTGTGCACACGTTCGGTCGCACCAAGAAAATTTTGTTATTTTAATAAATTGTAATTTGTTTTTTCTGCTTGGGTAGATTACATTTGTTTTTAGAGTTTTGTCACAAAATTGTCAAAGGGGGAGATTGTGAGATATATATTTTGTAATTAGCTAATTTTGGTGTCAAAACAAGTCCAATCGAGTTATATTTTCGCGTTTAAAATATAAGATTGAGATCGGTTATAGAATTGAAGAGTTGTTCCTGTTTGATAGTTTAAAGTCTATGAAAGGGTAAGAACAATACTTTATGAAGTTAAGTTAGAAGGTTAGAACACTTACATACATTGTATGTTTTTTAAATTGCATATTTTCATAATTTTTTGAAGTGTTTAATCCTTCTATTCAAGTTTGGCCAACTTGAACCAATTCCATGCAACTGAACCGGTTCAAGATTTATACTTCGAATTCTTTAATTCATTGACCAACTTGAACCGGTTCAAGGACTGTGAAGTAGTTCAAGGTCTTCTAGAGATTTTGGTAACTTTGTTTCTTATTCTGTTTAAAGTTCCTATTTGATATAGATTTCTTTCCAAAAGACCTATGCATGAAATTAACTTCTTTTCTAAGCATATCGAGGTTTTTGAAAGTCTATACAAACATATTTTCTCATCTAGGTTTGTGTGGCTTTTTGAATTAAAACTTCTGATTTCCTTAAAAGCCTTTTTGAGATATTTTTATTCAGAAAATTAATTTCATTTTTCTGATTTTATTTTTGAACACACACATAAACACAAAAGCGATTTTAGGATGTTGTTCAATTCTTGATCGTGTTCAAAGTCTATTGAATATTGAATCTACAACGCTCAAATAACACAGATCTATTTCTTCTACATCAAATTCAAATCTTGAAGAAAAAAGGTGAAGCGATCACACTTTGAAAGGGTAAAAGCATTCGTGGAGTGTTATTTGATCTACCAGCAATCCTTCTACAGAGATCAAGTGTAAGCTTGCAATCAAGAGTTATTAGACTGGACATCGCAAAACCAGAGATTGTTAGCAATTCGCTTTTGGTAGAACGATGGGGTGTGAGCCTAAGACAAAATTCATTGTACTTCGTTTCAAACATATTGTATTGTTTTGCTCTGGAGTGTACAGTCCATGAGGTTTTTCCCCCAACGATTGGTCTATTATGTCAATCGGGGTTTCCTTGCTAAAAATCCTGATGTCATCTCTCAAACTTTATTTGCTTTACTTACTTTTATTTTGCATATGATTATTTAATTATTTGCTAATTTAAGTAAAGCTAATCGAATAGAGAGACACGTGATTAAATCCTCTCTAGATAAAAACTTAAATTTTCCAAAATTTATTCTGCTGCACAACTCACACCTCATACTCAAGTTTATTGTACTCAAATGTTAGAAGTTTTATGTTCTATTTTTTATATTTGGGGATTTTGAAAAGAGATTAAGTGATGCAAGCAATAGTGTGTCGTGCAAATACACTGTGGTTGGATTGAGTTCAAACTTGGTTAAATCCCGAAGATAGAGCAGTCTTGGTTCCTCGCACCTTGTGGGAGGCTTCGACTACTTTCAAAAAGCGTTTATGCACCTCCAAACTGTAATCCGAATTTTCTTAAAAATTATATTTCGACCATATATATAAGTGCAAGTAATTTTTATGATTTTTCATGATCATTTTTCCAACATATTGCTTGCTAATTAGGTGATTGTCACTTTGAATTTCCCTTTTAAATGTTAAAACCAAGGCCTTTATCTTCCTTTTATATTTCCCACTAAGGATATCAAACTCATATCCCAGGGTCATTCTTAGCGATAAACTTACTCAAACACATGAATCTAAGCATATGACCCAAAAATTTCTTTCCAGATTCATGGTTACATTCCGAATGTAGGGATAAGCTCAATTGACAAGAAAGTTATATAAGAGGAAATTCATAAATAAGGAAATTGGTAAAAGTGATTGGAATGGATAAAATAAAAGGGGAAAAAAATGATGCTTAGAGCATCTCCAATGGAGTCTCTAAAATTAGGCTCTCCGAATTTGCCACATCAGCATTTTTTATAGCCACGTCAGCATTTCCCATAGCCACGTCAGCGTTTTAGAATCCCCAAATTTTAGCAATCACATGTACTCCAATAGTATGTTTTCCCTCTCCATACATATTAATATTTAATATCTTTAAAATTTTTAATAAATTATTTTTTTGTTAACTTTTTCCTAGCAGCTATATTTTTCATCTTATATAAACAATCATTTGTTCATCTCATTATCATTACATTTATCTTTATCATTCTAGCAAAATATCAATTCACATCTCCTTCAATTTCAAAATTCCAATGGCTTCCTCATCACGTTGTTTTCCTTTGCCAGGCTCTAATTCATCATCTTCTTCATCAAATAACCCTGTTGACGCATTGATTCAACATAATCAAGATGCCTTTAGTTCAATTTTAAATTCAGTGAACCTAGAGATAGTAGAGCAAGTCTTTAAACCGCGTAAGAAGCGGTACATTCATTGTGATAGAGAGGGAAGCCACCATCAACTAATGAAAGACTACTTTGGCAAAAATTGCACATATCCACTGGAGTACTTTCATAGACGATTCAAGATGCGACGAGAACTATTTCTTTATATCATGAATGATGTTAAAGCTTATGACGACTACTTCATCCAAAAAAGGGATGCAACAGGTCGTTTGGGGTTATCTTTTATACAGAAGATGACAACTGTAATACGTATACTCTTATATGGTTGTGTAGCCTATCATTGTAATAAGTATATTAAAATCGGTGAGAGAACTGCCATTGAAACCCTGATGACATTTTGTAAAATTGTTTTTGGTGTGTACGGGGTAGAGTACATGCGCCCACCCAATGAAGCAGATACAGCACAATTACTTCAAGAAGGGGAGGAAAGAGGATTCCAGGGTATGCTTGGTTTTATCGACTATATACACTAGGAGTGGAAGAATTGTCCGGTGTTGTGGCATGGCACGCACAAAGGACACTCTCATACGCCTACGCCCATATTAGAGGCAGCAGCCTCAAAAGATTTGTGGATTTGACATGCATTCTTTGGAATGTCGGGTTCACACAATCACATTAATGTGCTGGATCATTCTCCGGTATTCGCTAGTATCATCACTAGCCAAATTCCTCTAGTTAATTTCATTGTGAATGGCAATTACCATAGAATGAGATATTACCTATATGATAGTATATACCCTAAGTGGGTAACTTTGATGCAGACCATCCCGCACCCAACTACAGCAAAAGAAAAACTTTTTGCTCACAGACAAGAGGCTGCAGGAAAGATGTGGAACGAGCTTTTGGGGTCTTGCAGATAAAGTGGGCAATAACACAAGGACCAGTGCGTTTTTGGGATAAAGGGGACTTATGCCTTATAGTGAAAACGTGCATCATCCTTCACAACATGATCATTGAAGATGAGCACCATGCCAATGTTGGAAGATGGACTCCGCCACCTGAGGAAACAATCTCGATTCCCACTTTAATTCGAAATCCATTGGTCTTAGCGGCACACATCTTCTCTCGCCAAGTCCAAATTCGCAACAAAGAGACAAATACGCAATTAAGGAAAGATTTAATAGAAGATTTGTGGAGCCGTTTTGGTGAAGAAAACATTGCATTTATTTATTTTTAAATTGTTATGAAGTTTATGTAATGGAATATTTATTGTGTAATGTTTTATTTTGAAATAAATAATTAAATTGTTTGTTGATTAAATTATTTAGCCAATATGTATGAAATATTGTAAACAATACAATATCTAATATCATTTGATTTATTAATTTATAGAGGTGAAAACAAAGAGTCATTTTTTTAATAAAAAAAATCATATTTTAAAATAAATTTCAATTTGTTAGGGAAAAATAAATAAAAAAATTTGTTTGGTTAGTCAATATAGCCATTAAGGTACTGTTTGGGTCAGCCAAACAGCTAAAACGACTATAATGTCAATAGGAACATTGAAATTTTTAAAAAGGAGAAAAAAATAATTTAATAAATCATTTTTTTCCAATTTTTTAAAAGGTTTTTTTGGTCCAAAAAAACCTTTAAGTGTTTGTGTCAGCCAAACATTGACTTAACGGCTCTTTAGTTCAATTATGTTGAGGGGGGAAAAAAATGGCCAAAATATGCAAAAAAAAAAATTAGTTTTTGGAATTTTTTTCACGACCAAACAAAAGCTAGAAAAGGCCCAGAATCTTTAAAAACTGGGCCGTTGGAGCTGCCCTTAGAGCTCTCACTACGGGTCTCTATTTGTTATATAATGGAAATCTAATATCGTTTTTTCATTTGATTTACTTATAATTGAAATATGACTCATATTGTGGGTGTATCATGACTCTCCCTCTTTGTTCTTTTTTTATTTTTCTTCTCTAGGTAACACTAAATGCCAAAAAAAATTTAAAATATAAAAAGCATAAATAAAAAACAAGGAAAAAGACAACCACAAAAGATCATTAAAAGCATAACACACAAGCACAAACCAAGGTTCCCTCACCAAGCAACCTGTATTTATGTAATTTTATTTCATCTCTTAACGACAGTTAATCCTGCATTAACCAAAGAGGGTAAATTGCAATAGATAATAAATATAGGTTGTACCAAAAAAAATAAAAAATAAAATAAAATAAAAAGAAGAAGAAGAAGAAGAGGATAATGGGGTATTGTGCAACACTTCGAAACTAGAGGGAGGTTTAGTGTACTAAGGTCATATTTTTATGCCTAAAAATAGTCTCTCGACGTTCAGAGGTAAAGACGGCGGGACAACATACATTTGACCCTCCCACACCCTTTAATAATGAGAAAATCTTATGCATTGTGTTAGACCTTATGGTCTTTGTACCTAATTTATGTATTGCTTATAATCAATTAATTAATCAGGAATTGTCACCTATGATTCTATGAAGTCGTTAAACAATAAAAAGAGAAATACACATCAAGAAGAGTTAAATTCTTCTCAATAGATAAGTTTAATGACAGAGTACAACAAGTAGATCGAACCTAATGGCAGAGCTTCCATAGATGCTGCAGTTGGTAACTAGATATAGGATTTTCTCTCAGGGACCTCATTAACATCACAGTAATATAACAGTAGTTTACTAGAATTCCCCATGTGCGTAATATAATTATAATCAATCCATAACAAGTCTTAACTCAACTCAAACACCAATATACAAACACTCTATGGTCATTTCAGGGAAGTTGAAAATTCTCAACTCAACTATTTCATTCTTGTCTTTGTTACTGACTTGAATTAGCTCCAACTCTTTAGATTCTCATTATATATAAAAGGATTATTCAGGGCAATCTAATAAATATGAGTTTCATGAATTTTGAGATGTATTATTTATCGACTTGTGATCTTTAATCCACAATATGAATGGTAACTAGATATAGGATGTTCTCTCATTTCATATAGGTATCAAATATCGATCAAGTTAATTTGCCTTAGCAAGCATATATCTGAGTTGTATGGAAGGGAATTTAATGAGTAATACACCAACGACAACTGACAAGGTTCTTATCTTGTAGGATTGCAGCAAAAGAGTTAAAGTTTGAATATAAAGATAAAACTAATTTGGAATTTCTTCCAATTCATTTTAGTGCTTGGAATATTGAATTCAAGAGGATCATATCAATTGCACTATATGTCAACTTTGTTGGAAATGAGTGGTCTATACGCGCGCGCACACACACTCAATAATTTGGAATAAAAGAGGATAGAGGAACACTTGGAAATATTTTTATTCCAATTTATTAAAACATGTAAAGTACACGAGCTTATATAAACTATACAACATATATGTAACAATCAAATGTAAATTCAAATTAACTCCTGCTAAATTAACATTTAGTAGGCACAACTCCCGCTAATATTGACTATTACTAGTTGTATCTTTCATACCTACCACGAACACCAAATAAAAACTCTCATTAATATAAAATTAGCATACCAAATAAAAACACTCATGACCTTCAAAGATGTTAAAACAAATAATCAAGTTTATTTTCCAACACCCTCAGGTAAACTTGATTTTTCAACTCTAAGTAAACTCCTTTAACTTATGAAATTTTGCAAACTTGAGGGGCTTGGTAAATATATCCACAACTTGGTCTTGTGACATCATGATCATGAGCTCCAAGTCCTTATTGTTTATGCATTCTCTAATGAAATGAAATATTGTGTCAACATATGAAATCTTTAGTTAATATGCTTACTTCGTTCATGAAATAACGGATTCTTGGCAAAAGCAATTGTTAATTTGTTGTCCACAAAGATTTCCGTTAACTCTTCTTGTGGCATGTGTAATTCTTTTAACAAATTCATTAACCAAATTGCTTGTCAAACACATGAAATGGCTGTAACATATTTCGCTCACAAGTTGAGAAGTGACAATGAGTTGCTTCTTTGAACACCGTGTGAAAGCTATATTTCCCATTAAAAAGACATAGCCAGAAGTACTTTTTATGTCATCCAAATCTCTGGCCCAATCGCTATCATAATAACTCACAAGTTTGAAATCATTCGAAAATGAATAGAAGAACCCAAAATCAAGTATACATTTGATGTAACAAAGAATCCTCTTAACTGCCTTGAAATGAGTCATAGTGGGCTTTTCCATAAACCGACTAACAAGCCCAACCGCAAATAATATGTCTGGCCTTGTGCAAGTTAAGTATCTTAAGCTTCCAATTATAAGACTTTTGTAAAATGTTGAATCTGCCGTCTCTCCATCTTCAACTCTCGACAACTTGATTCCAACTTCAATGGGCGTGTTCACTAATTTACAATCTTCCATCTTGAATTTCTTTAGAATTTTCTTAGCATAGCCTTCTTGGTGAATGAAGCTACATCCTTCATTTTCCTGATCTCAATGCCAAGATAGTAAGACATGATGCTAATGATCGTCATCTCAAACTCCCGAGCCATAACTTTTTTAAAATTCTCAAACATTCTTGGATTGCTACCTATAAAGATCAAATCATCCACATACAAACAAACAAAAATATATCCCCAATCTCACTTACTTTTGTGTAAAGAGCTATTTCATATGTGATATGGACACTTTACAAAATTATTGTCTTAAAAATATTTGTCAATTCATTTATTCTATGCCCTTAGTGTTTGCTTTAAGCTATATAAAGCCTTTTTCAATTTCAAGACTTTGCCTTCTTGCTCTTTCACAACATAGCCCATGGGCTGTTAAACATACACCTCTTCTTCAAGAAACCCAATCAAGAAAGCCGATTTGACATCCATTTGGTGGATTTTCCAATTGTTTTGCGCTATCAAAAAAATTAACAATCTAATTGTTTCTAAATGGGTTACGAGTGCAACTACCTCGTTATAGTCAATGTCAGCCTTTTGGTTCATCCTCTTGGCGACCAATCTTACGTTGTACCTTTCAATTTCACCATTTGCATTCTTCTTTCCTTTATATACCGATTTGACACCAAATTCTTTTTTCTCTTTTAGAAGTATAGCAAGCTCCCATATGTCATTCTTCTCTATGTACTTGATTTCTTTATCCATAGCATTCCTCCATTTTTTGTCTTGTGTTGTCTCTTCAAATCCTACGGGTTCACAATGTGATACCCCTCGATTCTAGAGCCATGAATGATCAAGTCCGAGCACAGATCCGTGGGATACCAAACAATTAATATGTAAACAAGCATGAATACAAAAGAATTAAGAAATAAACTTAAAGGCTGAAAAGAATTCTAAATATAAAAATCCTCCAAAATAATAGATTAATATAATTTAATCTTTCCAATCCGTATAATTTGGGAATCCATCCAGTGGACCCTGGACCCCTAATAATCCTAAATGAACAATAAATTACAGAACCAAAATCCAAAGCTAAAATAAGAACGAAAATCCTATGTATTCGAAGGAGTGAGTAACTGTATCTGCTCAGCACGATCAAGCCTTAATCCTGCAACTGACGAACACCTGAAAAATAAGAGTGGGTCAAACCCACGTGCAAGTTCTATCCTGCTACAATCTATATAGAAACCCGATACGCAGATACATCCTATATAGCTCAGCAATAACTAACCTACACACTATAGGACGCTCACTAGCCTATAGTGTAGTTCAGCCTGAATAGAAAGTAACATGTAAATCACACATTACGGTGTGCATGTGCACCTAGACCTACCAAGGAACATCAGCTATATCTAGTTACTTATCCTTGGTGATATACGCACCCTAAACATGATCTTGAGACTCAAGCTCATATCACGATACCATAAGTATATATATAAATCCTTCCTAATACAGAAAAATAAAACAAACATCTGATATGTTGTTCAACTGTTTTAGTTGACAATACATGCATCCATGTAGAATTTAACTATTTTAGTTAATCCATTCTGTATGTATGAATATGTAGGACTTAAAGTTTTGACCTAATCCATTCCTAATATGCCACCGTTCTATACCGGTGCATATAATGCATATGATCCATAAATGATGCACACTCATTTGAACATCAAATATATCCAAAGACAAACATAATAGAAATCAGATATAGACAAGATCCTATTATGGATCCAGTATATGATTATAATCATAGAACCTCCGTGTAAATTGCTAGAGTAATGATAAACAATTTAAACTATCCATATCCATCC